CTCCCTACTGAGAACAGGGGATCACCGTAAAGCTGCTTCGTCGAAGCTGATCGTGAAGTCAGTGAACAATGGGCGCTTTGCAAGGAAAAGGCTCGATCCAGAGAATAGCTTCGACAACTCTCTTTACATATTTTGTTACGATAATCCCGCGCTCACCGATGGTCATAATCGGAGACGAAACGACGAAAGGTGGAGGGAGGGAGGTGATGCGTTCTACGGAACGGTATATGGTCGTCGAGCGAAAAGGCCTAAGGTCACCGCGAAGTGACTTGTTTGGTGGCAAGCATGCATGGAGCGAAAGTGCTCGAGCTGGCTCTGCGGCGGATCTCCGCCATGCTGGCCGAGAGCGATTACTGCGCGTCCAGACAATAAGAGCAGGCTGCCCACGCCAGACGAGGGGTGCATCGTTCCCACCATTGTTTTACACCAGCGATGTCGGCACGCTATAAGGGTCAAGGTAATTATCAGAAGTCTGGGTAAGCGGCAGCACATTTTCGGAACGGCGTGCTCAGCGGCGCCCGCAAGCTTTCGCCCGGCTCAGCTGTTCGAGCCGTTGCGTAAAGCTAAGTATCTGGCGCTTTGTCAGAAGGTTTTTATCCGTCATGAGCGTTGAAAATCGGCGCTATAGAACACCCAATTGTGCTACACCTTCCACCGAAACAGTAAATAGGTTTCCTCAAGACGGTTTCTTCTCTATATCTTTCTTGCTTTGTTTAATTCTTAATTCACATCACGAAAATACACACTAAAATAAGCATTTCTAATGCATCGGAAGTACCCTACGTAGTCAGTTTACTATTTATTTTTATTGATTCAAATGACCTGCAGCGCCTGAAGGCATTACTGCACGGGGGGGGGGGGGGGGGGGGGGACACAGGATAAGTTGTGCTAACATAAAAATAATAAACATGAAAACAACATATACAAAAAACGGAAAAACAAATGTAACTTTGAATGTATTTGATGGAGGCGAAACTTTTGTAAGCCCATGTGCTCAGATTTGGCTGCACGTTAAAGAACCCCTATATGGTTAACATTTCCGGATCCCTCCACTACGGTGTCTCCCATAATTATATGGTGGTTTTGGGTCGTTAAACCCCACATATCAATATGCTCTAAATGTAACACTATGTCTATGAACAATGTTTCAATGCGACAGTCCACAACGTCCAGTGAAAGCTCATTCCACTCGAAGATTGTGTGTGGAAAAAACGAGTGTTGATAGCAGTATGTTCGGCAATAACTTTCTCTTCTCTTTAGAGAGTTGTCACTTTTATGGGATAAGAAATGTGGCGGTAAAGGGTAAGAATATTTATCCATTTTAACCAAGCCTTGAAAAACTTTGATAAGCATTTCTCATATAATGTTTTTTTTTTCTTTGTGTACTTAGTGATACCCACCCCAACCTAGTCTTATAGTGCAGCGGCACTAAACGTGAAGTCATAGTTACAACTGACAAAACAGGCACCACAGTTTTGTACACTCTCGACTATATTAAATAGGTTTACTTTGTGGTTCCCAAGACACACAGGCGTGCTCTAATATATCTCTGGCGTTCAAAAAATAAAGTATTTCTGTGATTTTGGTAGGAGCTAAATGTAAGCTTCATTTATGAAAATTTAACATTCTACAGGATCTCGCTCTAACATACTCAATGTGCTTAGTCCAAGTAAGATTCAATCAAAAATAAACACCAAAGTGTTTGTACCCAGTCACTCGCGTTAGCTGGACGGTGTCTAAGGTGTAATCAAACAGGTGTGAATCGGGTTCATGAGTGAAGGAGACGCATTGACAAGGGTTGACACATACGCCACCTAACACGCCGGTGCATTCCTTTATCTGAATTGCGTTGCAAGTAAACGTGGTCAGCCACAAATGTGATGCCATAGTAAATTGCACAATAGGTGCATACATCCGCACTTTGCATGAAACATCCTGAGCAACATCATTGATGTATACTCTATAAACGGCCGAGGCCCAAAAATTATCCCTGGGCACTCCCAGAGTAACAGTCACATATTCAAAGTGGGAGCTTTTAACTAAAACACGCTGCATGCATTTTTATTACAGTCAACCAATGCCGGAGTAGTAACTAGCAATGAAAGCATCTTTAAGGAGCATGTTTGTACTGTAAACCCATAAAATGTTTAACGCGATCGAGAGCATTAAAGCAATGATTTGCTTTAATGCTTTAACGGTCAATGTTATGCGCACAGACGCTCTTTTCCATGCGACACGGTTGATGTGTCTACCGAGAATGAAGGCAAAGCGTGCGATTGAGAAGGCGATGCGAACGGGGCCGCGTTTTACTCTTAAAGCAAGCTCAAGCGTATACTCCAAGTTCTTCTTTTATTCGATCAGTTACATGCGCAGCTTATTATAACAGTTAAAACACCTTGACACGTCCTTGTTAGGCAGACCTGATAAATAACGAGAAGGAAAATTTGGAACGCAAAAATCGAGGATGTATGCTCAGAACTGGTGACTTCATGACCTCTGCAGTATGTAAGTAATGGAGTACGTAAGTAGGATTATTGATCAAGCCGCACACAAAACACATCTTCCCACAGAGATAGAGAACATGCAAACTCAAGCGCTGGACGGCGACTGTTGCTTTAAGGTTCAAAGGCCCTTCTGATATAGAGTAACGCGCATGAGCTATAATAGCCGGGGTGAATGATCACGAACAGAAAAAAAAAATTGTTTTCATCTTCTCTCTGTGTGTATGTGATTGCTTTTTCCGCGCTTCGTCTAAATCTAGTGCTTCTATTCGGCATGGTCTTTATGCCGGCAGAATGCGTATTTTTGTGCTGCGTCAGTGTCATGGCGCACCAACTTGTCATTCGTATTTACGTGTCAAGTAAGATTATTGATTCATGAGGTATATATATTCGAGGGTTTCGGATAGGCTCTAACCTAATATACTTCCTTAACGCGCAGCAGAAGCATGGTATATAATCGGATGCTGTTGTATCCAGCAACATCTGGGTCACTGTAACTGAAATTTCGAGGATATTATAATATACATTCTGCATTAGCACGCCAGCGTGCCCAAGTCAGAGAGAGGTCAACTCGGCTGGCTCTCTGGCGTCCTAAGTTGACTGATTATAGGGACACAGCAAGTGACGTGACTTGCTTTCAGGGTAAATGTGGACAAAAGAAAGAAGACGCGAAAGCGGAATTTACGCATGGACGACTCGAAACGGGCTCCTCTGAGTACAAACGCTGATGTCCACTCGACCATGCTACCTTCTATTGTTACTTCTTCCTTTCTTTCTTCTTATCTTTCTTTGTTTCTTATTTTCTTTCTTTCTCTTTCCTTCCTTCTTTCCCTGCTTCTTTTCTTTCTTTCTTTTTTTCTTTCTTCGATGATATTCACTACACTGAGTAGAAATGGTTTCTGTCCGTATCGGAAGCAAAATATTGACGAAGATTCAATGATGTCGATGCCATTCTGGTCGCCGTTATAAGTAATTATGTAATGAACCGCCACTCGATAATGTACTTTCAGCAGCTCGTAAATTTGCAACTTATGCTTCCAGGCATACAAAAAAAAAGAAAGGGCTTGAGGCTCAAGCGATACTTTCGGCTATATGACTACGTTCCCAGCGGTAGCATTTTGCCACTGTAAGAATGACCCCCGTATTGTTATGGTTCCTCCCTCTGTTCTGTAAGCTACGTTTATATGAAATGCCTAATGTGGCCTTTTATCCGAGATAGTACAATGATAGAAGGTAGCTTTTTTAGAACGAATATTTTTACAACGAAAAATTACCTTCTTTCAGGCTCACCTTTTCAGTGTGCGCCTCCTTTGTTCTACCGGCGCTGCTTTCACGAGCATGAAAACTAATAACTACACGGAAGAAAACCACGGACAATTTATATGTGTTGCACAATGATGCAGCTCATTATGGCCTCCGAAGTGCATGCACAGACACTCCTCTCAGAGTCCGTGTGCAGCGTAGCGCCTTGCTCCACATTTCCAGCGCTGATGCTGCGTGGTTTTTTCAGTCTTTCTGTCATCGTATTGCCCACAGACAGGTAGTGGTGAGTGCGCTATAGACTTCCATGTTAACAATAATTTTGTCTGTGGGATCAAGTCCCATTAGAAGCAGTGGCGAAGGAGTTTAATTTTTCTTTGGGCTGTGGCACTGACAAACATTGAGCTAATGAGGTGATCTAACGACTAAAATCGTTCTGGTGGTTCTTCAATCGTTACAACGATCACCATCAGCGTTGGATAATTGTTGAATGGATGGACGGACTTACAAATCCAGCCCTGTTTCGAACACTCGACTGACGTCACGGTATAATGTTTAACGAGTTATATGGTGAAACAATAACGCCTAGGACGTGACTCTAAAAAGGAGACCTTTGTTTCGCCATTGACTACGACCGTTTCCAACGTGTGCGAAACCAGTAAACACTACGCTACATACCCCTTCATTTTGTACGAATCATTTTACTGCTTTTGCATCGCTTAATTACCATGCTAGATCTTTTGAGGCGTCAGCTACTGTGTGGTCTCAACTACGTTTCCGACGCCCCTCGTGCGACAAACGTCACGTCCCCCTGCCACATATCAGGAAAACTAACGACAGAGCGGCGTTAATTCAGATGTTAGGCTTATATATTGCCGCTAAAAGAAGGAGCCGACTGTTACATCTCCTTGCATATCACCAAGGTCATGCGGAATATAATTGTGAAGGACAGCCGAAGAAGCGCATAAAATTGTTCTTTCAGGAATTAATTGCGGGAAGCCGCCAGTGTAAACACCGGCTACCAGACCTTTTACACTACAGCAACCGCTCAGAGTGCGGCCTCCACCCGCCGCGAGTTCAAGGCACGGGGCACGACGCGACCGACGTGGTTCGGTAACGGCGTCCGCGACACAGCACAGCCATATATTGTAGCGAGAAATAACTCGTGAAGCAATGAGTAGAAATGGAAGAGAAAAAAAGCGCCCCCGCTAAAAGTATAACTACGTCGTCCGGAAGCAAACGCCGCACAAAGCGCCTTCGAGTGGAGAAACTCCGAGGCGTGGCACCGTCGGGCGGAAATGAGCCGAAGGTGCCGGCATCAAAGCGTGAGTGTTGACATCGACGTCGGGTATTCCCCCCATTCCTTTGCGTATCTGGGGTTGGAAGCAGGCGGATCTCTATGCTCTCGTATATATTTAGATCACAACAGGTAGATTATACTCTGGGTTACGTTTATCATGTACTTAGTGCCACGGCCGATGCCTTTTCCTCTGTAGTACTGTTTTTAGTGCAGTGTTATATATGATGATTCTATAGGCTGTCAGAACGTGCAGTTCAGCAAAATATGTCACAACACCCGTGTTTCCTGAAGGGAGGTCTCTCACGACTTCTACAACGAAGCGTTATACAGAGGCTAATTTGGATATATAACTTAATGTATACGCGCGATGTTGAACGCTTGAAACAAATATGAGATTCATACTAATACTCATCGCTGCAAAGTTGCGTATACAACTTTATATCAATTATAGCTGCACAGCCATGTATAGACTCAGCCAATCTGTGTATATACCGAAAGCCGCCACTTGTACCATCTTAGCAGTTATATATATTTATATATATATATATATATATATATATATATATATATATATATATATATATATATATATATATATATATATATATATATATATATATATATATATATATATACTCTTTTGGTTCCAAGTAAACCAAAACGCACGCGCGGTGTCATCATTTTTATTTAAAATGCCCACCATCTGACGCAAACTCTTCTCAATCATCAGATGAATTAAGTTTTAATAAAATTTCGTACATTCATTGCCGTAAACATAGTTTGCGGAATACAACAGTGTCAAAATTGCATATGAATCCCTAGCCAAAGGCTAGAAGTTGGCCAACCGGTACACAATATTAATGGCCATTCGGTCATTGCTCTCAAAGATACACGTTGGGAGTATGGGATTAGAGGGTTATATTTCATAACTACATCGATCGGTGTTTCGTACGGTGGACTTACAAAATATTTAAAGCATGCCCGACCCCGTCACACACACGTCTTCAAAGAAACAAATCATGACTGGTAGAAATATTTCGCTAACTGTGGTTGTTGTTCTGCTAAGCCAACTGAAAATAACAAATGAAATCAACACGAAGTTTGCCTTGATTGATAAGCTGATTTCGTTACATTGTAGCCATCAAGTCGGAAGAGAAATTAATTCTTGTTATAAAAACATTGTGAAACTTCTCACTTTGAACTTCGTGCCGAAACTAAGCGATGAACGTCACGTCTCAGATTTTTATGTGTATTGCTATTGGATAGGAACATGTCATGTGCAAGTTTTTTACACAATTTAAATGTACTGCTACCTCTACATGCAAGAAAAAAAAACTGCTGGAGTGGGTCACGACGTCACTGCAAGCTGTTGTGAAATCTTCAACCCATAGCGTCATCAATTATTACTCTTGTTCGACTTGACTAACAATATCAGCGGCTGCTTTTCTATTTTGAAGGCGTCATTCAATAATCCATCTTTACGTTTTGTATCAAGTTTTATGTCATCTTTTTCGCCCCATGATTGCATTTCTGTACTTTGCTTTTCCCTCCACCATGTCGCTATTTTCGGCGTTACCCTCGTAACCTTCGCTGCAGACCGGTGGGCAGCGCTAATGACTCCGCATGAAGAGAACGCGCCGCAGTGACAGCAACGACGTTTTATCGGCAGCCGTTTCTATCTGCAGCTATTCATCCGTATGCGCTCACGCTTCGCTGGGCAGCAGAGTTACGCCATCAGAAGGAGTCGAATAGAAACGCTATAAAGACGCACTCGTGCACTGGCGGATAGCCGCTGGGAGGGCTTCGTTATTCCCACACATCGTAAGAGCGGCCCGTCTACGACACGCTATAGAGCCATACGCGCTCATTCGATGGATCCCCTTCACGATCGAGCCTGCGCGAGCAGATACGTAACGCGACAGGACAATGAACCCCGAGCCAAGCCTCAACCTCGTTATGCCAACGTGGCAGCCCGACAAGGAGCGGCGGACCCGCCGAACATCGTCGCGGGAGAAAAGTTTGGGCCCGCGCCGACAGGTTTCCTTTTCAAACGTCATCCGCGCTCGCGTGCGTGTTGCGGTCGGCAATAGGAGAGCCCCCAAAACTGAGAGGGCGCAACGGTGAGCCGCGCCATGCCACACACACGCACTCGCAGACACACGCATCGTGGAAGCGTCGCCGAGGGGGCCCCTGCCGCAGCAGATCAAGGAATGTCCAAGGTTGGCCGACAACACACTGCTTCCCCTCGCATAGTACACAAGCACGGCAGTACGCAAGCGCGAACAGGCCACGTGCCGGTATGGAGCGCGTACCCAACGGTTGCATTCGTACGCAATCGATACGCGTGAGGCGCGAACGCTGGGCGATATTTATGAACAGCTAATTCGTGGGGATTGCTTTACATGCACCGTAAGTAATTTATTAAATTAGGTGTAAGTCCAGGAGACTGGCTTTCCTACATCAGAAATGGCTTTCCTAAATCAAGAAAAAGAAAAAAAGAAATAGTACTGGGTTATCCCGAATTTAACGCACGCAAATGCACGATAAATTTGTGTGTATAAGGCATGCAGCCGCCATTGCCGACAGCGATTGCTGCTGGCGTAGCATCTGACAGCCGTTGATGAAACAGTTGACTGAAAGAATTATCAATAATGCAATAATCTCTATGTACTCTATGTACGGGCCCGCTGTAAAGCATTTGTACTCGTTAACTGCATCCCTTGAAATGGCTTGCCACAAAATCTTGCCCTCAGGCCCGCGCTTAAGGTTTATAAACCTTCACAGGCGCTTCCAGAGCTCATCTTGTCGGACGAAGTCAAGATTGTCCTGAAAACCAACCTTTTTCATGCAGAATGAAGCATGTAAAGTTGTTGAGTTCCTTACGCGCAGCACTAGGGAAGACAAAGACCGTTCAACCTATGCTTGCACGCTATTTACTCTTCGAGGAGCCGCAACGTCCACACGGAACATTTGACAAAGACTATCTCTTGGGCTAAGACACTTTCTTGGCCTTTTGGCTGATGCCGACCCCAGATGACGCTTAACGAACTGGCAGATTTAGCACTCAGCAGTTTGTACATGTTTTTTTTTTTTTACATTCCTTGCGTTGTGCCTATTTCAGACTTTTTCTTATCATATCCAAAAGCAGGCTAGTAGTGCTACCGGGCAAACCTTTGCATAAGTCATTAAAAATACTATCCCTTTCTGTCTTTCTGTCTCTAATGGACATCATGTTGCCCACTATCAAACTGAAAATATGTAGCACATATTCTTAATCTGAATATAGCCAATTGTTATAAGCAAGCTTTCCCATTAACTCGTTCCACGCACAGATGGTTACAGAGAAAAGCGTAGTCGCTGCACCTAAACCTGCCTCACTCGCTTCGTTCACTGCGAAGCTTTCTGTCTCTTCTTGCCCGAACCATCATTCCTCTTTGTCCATCTCTATTTATCGCGCAGAATATGTTTGCGAATTGACGTGTTGGTATACCAAACTCTACAACAACAAAAAGAATTAAAGCCTGGGCGTCTCATGCGCAACAACCGCCTCACTGTGATGAGCAAACTCGGGTACTCCAACATAATTTTTTAATCACTGTGACTTCCTTAAGCAGCACTTCACGTACACCTAAGTACGCAAGGTTCCAGCTTTCCCCTGCCATTGTAACGATACTGCTGCTCTGGTCACTCATTAATTAGCTCGAGCTGAGGAGGCCCACGCATTAGCCGCTGGTCCTGTACATCACGACAAAAATGCCGACTGCCACGTCTTCGCATGTGTGATCGTACTTTCAGGCTCACATAGCACAAAATTTTCAGCAACAACGTGTGACTTCATACAACAATTAACCAAAACATAAGACCTTTAAACATTACATCGGCTTCGTGCACGCAAAATAGCACTAGCGTCTTTTAGTCTTGGGTCACTTCATACATGCTGGAGTGGGAGAAGGAGAGATACAAGCTTAAAATTTATAAATAGATAATAAATGCGAAGTATTTATCGAAAAACCAAGAATACTTTGAATGTTTCTATCTATGTACCTATCTAACTACCCGCCTGCATCTGGGTGCTATCGAGATCGTCTCCTTAACCTGGCATAGCTCGAGGTAGTATGGGAGGATAATAGTGTTGGACGAATGTTACTGTTTCGTCATCACAGGTAAAACACGAAAACCCTGCCACGAATGTCATCTAACACTTTCTTCAAGACATGTATGTCCGTGCACAGCGGGACATGGCATGTGGGTATGCGCCACAGGCTCTTCACATTTTATATCTACCAAAGAACAACGACAGCCGACATAGGTAATGTAAATGCACGATAGGTATGAAAAACTGACATAAGCAGCATTGACTCGACCAATGAAAAAAAATACGAAAATCAACATGCATTCCAGCATGAATTGAACTCAAGTACTCTGCACGACAGTCTGGCATGCTACCACTGAGCCACGACAGGTCTTGAAACTGCTTTGATAAAAAGGCACAAGGTCGGTGCAACGTCCATTGTGGTTGCTGGGCTCGCTATGTAGATTTATAACAAAGTCATGAACCTTACATCTGTACTTCTAAGACAAAGGTGTCATGTCTGCTTATCGTCAATTACGGTTCCAGCATTGACTCCACGTTGCCAGACCTGGAGAAATACTCTAGCGAATATCAAGCATGATATCTACATTATTGCCCAGTAAAGTGCACTTCGTTTGGATAATACTGACGTCTGCTCTATCGTAAGTACTGACGTAAGGGGTAATACCATAAGTTACCCTTCTAACGCCCTTGCAGTTGACATTACTGGTAAGCCAACGATGTTCACGCAACTACTATACTTACAAAAACATGTATTTGAAAAAATGCTTACGCTGAAATATTTTTTGCAAGAGAAAACGCCAGCTAATGATGATGTCAGCGTTGTTATTACAACAAAAGTGCCAAAACAAACAAAAAAAAATGCTTCGTGATGCGTCCACCCGTCAGAGCCACAATATGATTATGAGGAACGCAGCAATTGGCACCTCTAA